TAACTCAAATAATACTCACTCACTAACTGATCAGCGTTTAACTAAAACTACTGTGCCAATTCATTTGAAACGTTGGGAATAAATGTACTAATTAGTAAATGCCATTAAGACAAACGCTGATCACACTCAATAATCAATTAAATCATTCGAAATACAACGAATTCGTGGTTTTCTTATTCTTAATGAGCTGAGGAATAAAGAAAAAATATAATCGGAGGTAGTGTTGTAAGAATTATAATACATATGAAAATCTAATAATCTTATACGCAGATTATTAAACATTCCATGACTCATTTAAAAATCACTTGGGAATATTGTATTCCATTTTTTAAATTTATAGAATTCATATATTTGTTGTGGTGAATTATTTTATTATGATAAAAAATACATAGTTAACATATGATAAATGACCATTATTACCACACTATATATGTTTATAAATATTATAATTTATGACCCGTGTTGTTTTGTAATTACAATAACTATATACTTAATATAAATTACCTGCAAATAAATAAGACCGAAAAGTTGGTCCATAAACGATTATAGTTGAAAAAACTGCTTTTGATTTTCTATTTCGAATAAGAAAAATCTATTAACATATGATTCACAAATAATAATATTTCCTACGGTTCATTAATCGTAGTTTGATAACGTTTATGGAATCGCAAACTATAGTAATACAATTAATGAGACATATATTTTAAACCATTTTAAATAAAAATCTTATTGATTAATATTATAATTTAGTTACAGGTTCAGAGCATAAATGGTACGATATATATTACGATGTGGTAACCAGTTCAAAGATACCAATGATTCAGCGGTTCGGTGATCGTCAAGATGAACCGAACACTGCAAAATTTGGACGTATACCGTGTTCATGTCAAAGTTTAACGTGTGGCTGTTGTGCTCAATTCAACGTTCGATTGTTCAATTACAATAAAAAAGGTCTAATATGATAATAAGGCCGTAGCCACTAATAGTGTAGGTATTGGAAAGAGAGCGTTCGCTAGCTAGAGACAAGATATTAAACCAAATAGGTGTATCAAAATGTAATAATTGAAAACCACCATTACACCAAATTCCACTATAGTAATTTTAGTTAAAAAACATCTCATGACAGAGAGAACGAGTTCAATAAATGTAATTCGTCACTACGGTAGCAACGACTTTAGGTGATTACTTTTTTGTTAATTACTCGTAATATTCATTTTTTAATTTTTTATCAAAACCAGTATTTTTATTGGTTTCAAACACTGTAACTATAGCAATATTATGGGCAATGCAATTTATATAGACAAGTTATTTTTTACTTAATTTTACTATAATTTTGTATTTTTAAGCATTTAAATATTTAAAGGAAAAGGAAAAAATATAAACTAAAATATAACTATCATTAATTATTTTTAAATTGGATTATTAATTAAAATGTTTTTGGTGTGCGTTCAAATGCTCTCTTTTTTTATTTAATATAATTCATAAAAGCTTGTTTAAGACTATAACAAGTCTTCTATCTTATAATATTAATTAATTGTTATAAATCTAATTTTAGTGTAACATCAATTTAAATAAAACAAATATAATTTTTGTTTTGTAATTTTTTGCAAATATTTTATTATACAAGGAGTAAAACAACAAGCAAAAATAATTGAACAAAAAAAAAAACAATTTTTTTTACTTAAAATATAGTACCGAAGTCATACACATGCATTCAAACATTCCAACATTTTAAAAAATTTCCGAGATCATCTGACGTTTTAAGTAAATGGCAACATATGTGTATCATACTTGAAAATGTATTTATGGCTTCTATGATACATGCGAGTAATTCAATTCACTAAATCATAAATTATATCACATTTTATTTATACTTTCATTTTCTTTTCAAAAAAATGAAAATATAATGATTATAACAAATCATTATAATCATTTATGTATTCATTTACGAGTATTAACCATTTACTATTTTTTATTTTTTATTATTTTATTAATCATTATTTATTACCAAACATTTATCGGCACAATTGTGATACACTTATACCAAAGAATTGTAATAGGTTTTCGTGTTCTTATCGTAATCTGAATCGTAGCATAAATCAAATTTTTATTTTTATCACACAATATATTAATTTAAGTTAAATTATTCTGATTAGGTATAAATGTACGTGTATCGTATATATTATAAAAATATAAAACTTCAATCGAAGTTTTTCGATCAAAAATATAAAATATCACAAATAAACTTTAGATTATTATTGGTAATAAGATTATTTACAGTCGCATTTGGATATTTGGATGTTTTAAATATATATATAGGTATATTATGTAAAAATTTGAAGTTCTGATTAAATGGACAAATCACTCTTGAAAAAAAAAACGTAACGTTATAAGACAGTAAAATTGAAAAAAGTATTATAATATACATAATTCATGGATTGATTAAATGACCGATACGAATAATAATTATGGAAATTATACTCTACATTGTAACAATACATTTTGAATTTAAATAAATTTATAATGATCGGTAGATCACGAAAAATAAGAAACAATATTATTACCTTATGTGACGTCAATGAATTAGTCGGTTCATATCTTCAGTAAAATTGCATGCATTTATTTAATTGACCGTGGAAAACGTTTAAAGTGAACGTGACATGATTTTCAATGATTATTGTCGGTCGATGGTTGACCAAGTTTGACGATTAGAAGAATGGAGAAAGTTTGGTCAACTGTTTCGAAGAAAAACTAACGACAAATCTATAATATTACTTTTTTTATCACATTCCACAGACTTTAACTAATTTTTTCATGTATTTTTGGTTCAATTTGGTTGATAAATTGTATTATTCAACATTTTCTAAAGATCACAACAAATTATACAGGTATTTCATACATTATCATAATAAATAAAACATGTGTCTGACTAGATTCCAACTCGTATTGTGTAAATAATATTATAATAGCGTTTTAAATCATTTTACGTAATTTAACCATAAATTAAATTATTAAAACCATTTTGACAAGTAACTTAATTTTACGTAATAGAAATATAATTAAAATAATAAATAATAAAATTTACCTATAACCGTTATCAGTTATTACTAATTTTTTAAAAACAATTAAGTAAAATAATAGCAGCTAATTCGGCGATGGTTTTAAAACAGATTTAACTTTATTATTAAATAACAAGTTTTTATTTTTATTTACCGTCAGAGAATCCATTTTAATAGTAGTTATTTGTTTAATAAATTCTGTACCTAAATTCAGCTATAAAACGAACATAAATGTTTCTCTTTACCACAAATAATTAAACGTTTATTAAAAACTCCTACAGTGAAAACTTAAATTTCAAGACGTACATAAAATCCCGTTATTAAAAAAATATTTCTTAAATGAAAAATTATAGCCAGAATTAAAGTACATTAATAAATCTAATTTAAAAATAATTTTGTTCATTACTTTTTTTTTTAATGCGTGTCAAGACTTAAGTTTTGATCATTATTGTGCATTATTAAAAAGGCACATTTTACATTAAGTTTTTATATTTTATCATACATTATACTACTTCATCGACGTTCATAAGTACTAAATATATTTTCAAAATGTTTATCTTATCTAGTTTAATTAAATTCATGTAAAATCATATGCAATTCGAAAATTCAATTTTTAATCCAATGTCGTTATAATGAGATGATTTTTCAGTCACATTATACGTCCCTCGCCTAAACTAAAACCTTAACTCTTAGTTTCTTTTTACAATGTAAACCGTTGTAAAAGTGAGATATGTACATCCTACAGGACTCTTGTTATGCTTATAATTTAAAAATAAAATAAAGGCTAGAAAACCACCGAAACTCAGATGAACAAGGATACTAATTGAATGTGACATGGGGATGAAGAAATATCGTCCTTGTAATCTCAGTTTTATTAACTTCGTACATGGACTCGTACTTAACGCGTAGTAAACCCTGGTAAATTTTCCATGCTGTTAGCCAAGATATACTATGTACATGCAAAGCCTGAAATTAATTAATATATACAACCATAAGTCAGGAGCAGCTCCAGAACCTTGATAAGGGGAGGGCCAAGTTATAATTTTTCAAAATCTTATAACAAAAAGAAAACAACAATTTTTACAACACAAATTCGTCTATTTTTAAAATTGGCAAAAATATCAATAGTATGATCTATTTAATCTAGAATATCTACCTTATGATATACATTAATTAGATATAATGCTGATAGTCTATCTTCAGTCATCATTAAACGAAGCCAGGTTTTTAGTTTCCGAAGTGTGAAGAAACTCCTTTCAACCGTCATACTTCTATAACTCTACATACTTGTGCGTATCGTATGATAGTACATATTATAACATGCATTTTTTTTTTGACAATATACATTTTTTTATAAATACGGTACGGGCTTGGGAGGAGACCACGCCCCTAGGGCCCCCCCTGAAGCCGTCCTTGTCATAGACTCGGTAAATTACTGGCTACGCTCAAAATCGCGGATTGGCGTAAAATATCAACCCACCGACTTTTGTTTTTATATGTGCAGGATGCATGAATTTCACGTACGATCCTCTCGACTTTGCAGTGACGGGAAACATGTTCATGGACAACGAGTCAGTGTACGAGTACAAGATATCCGGTACGTATTTATAGCATTAAATAACGTTCTGAAGACATAACCGCATGAAAAAAAAACCACATTTTACTATCATTATGCAGTGCAGCGCAGTACAATGGAAAACTAAAGATTTGAACCGACAAAGTCAACACATCAACACCAAACATTTACAATACAATACACATAACTTAAGCCGGAGAAATTAATACGACTTAGTGTACCGCAAACGTTTAAACATTCGACTGACTTAAACATTTGATCGTCGTACACATCGAACAACTTAAACATAAACATTCAATCAACCTAAATCGTTAAACAACAACGCCACGTGTATTTGGATTGATGATTACATAATTGAGCAACTCAAACAAAGTAATAAAAGTTAATATGATAGCCGAAAACGTCGTAACTAATAGACCTAAACCAATAGAATTCGTTGATCCGAACAATAAGATGTCGCATATCATGTATTATTACGGCTTTATAAAATTATTATATTAATTCTTCGTCGTTTTCTATTTGTAATTACTATATCCTTTTTCGGACAAAATCGTAACTATAGTTTATCCTATGGATGACAATTGCACACATGTGAATGAAATCAAATTGAATCTACATGGAAAGTTGAAACGATCACGTCGATCGGTGTACGTGATTTATAAGTAAGAAATCTATTTCGACAGCACCAACGGAAACGCAATAAACAATAGTAAAATCGAAATTTCCAATTTATTTTTATTTTTTTCACTAAATAAACAACAACAATAGACAATAACCGATCGTATACGTCGAATCATACACCGTAAGAAAAACATTATGTTCGCAATGAAAATAGGGACGGAGAATATTTCAATCACGAAAATGATACGTTGCGGTGCCGAGAAGTGTACCGACAAATTATTAGAAATAATACGGTCAACCTTCATTTCTATCGTAACATCAAAATAATATCATACAAAAACTAATTTCAATATCGATTATTTTTTTATAAACTAATAATTGAAATATTTTATTCGTATTGTATTAAATGACAATGTACGATAATATAAATCATTGGCTGTAAGTGCGCCTAACGTGGAACCGTAAGACAATAATAAAATTTTGATTATTACACCCCACCATATAAAAAAAAAACAATGCTTAATCGGTCACTTGTGGTACACGCAATATATACTTACATAATTTATAACTCAAATAGAAATCACGAAGAATAACTTAAAGAATTCGCAGCAAACGTTTTATGCACTGACACTCGTACATGTTTTTATTTTCACTATCACCGAACATGCAAATAACACTCGATTACAGTTGAAATGCATCCATTACGTTTATTGTATAGACACCTCCGAGGTAATTGTACTTAATTCTATGAACAGTATGATAGTTACTATCGTTAATACCATTAATAAACCTAATTGTTTAAGTTTTTTTTATTTCATTGTTGTGTTCCAACCAATCTTGAATCGTTTAAATGTCAACTGCTAATGTACTACTGCTGACGGAACTATTGAATTCTCACTGATTAATTATTCGTTATGTTTCCTATTTTTTTTTCTGTTTTCGCTACAGCCAAAAACCCTCCGCCGGCGTGTTTGCAAATGCCCGTGCCTTACTTACCATCGATGGACATGTGTGTAAAGATGTTCGACATCTATACGCCGGGCAAACGGTTGCACGCGTGCGTCAATTTCCTCACGCGCATCGAACACGCGGAAGTGCTCGTGTTGGAATTCGATTGTTTTACGATCGGTCTCGACGGAGTGAACCTAGAAAAGTACAACACCACGACCACGTCCACGACTACCACCACCACGGTATACGACTCGACGGTTCCCGATCTGGACGTGGCCGCTCTCGAAGAGAATAACACTACTACAACAGCAAGCAAAATACAATAATAGTAATACGTGCGTTATGTTAGACATTAATTTTATTTCGATTTATATACTATTTACACGTTAAGCAAACAAAAGCGTTTGATCTATAAATCTAATAATTTTCAATACTAAACAGTTTTAATATTAATTGTGTATATGTCCTCGGACGAGTTTATATCGAGTTTATCCATTGGAAAAGTCGATGAATTTCCGATTGCTCGTTCTCGAAAGGACATTCTTAGGGATATGGCACATTATTGTGTTTTAGTTTTTATTATTACCATTGGTTTTATTAGCTTGTAGAAAAATAACTTTAACCCTTCGTGTGTTAATGTGGCATAACAACCAAGAAAAGTTTTTTAAACAAAAATTGTTTAAGAAACTTATAAGTTATAACCTTATTCTAATTATGATAAAGAAAACTTCTAAAATAAAGAGAAAAAATTCCAGAGCCAAATAAATATATTACCGTGTTTATTATTAATCTTAATGTTTTATGTTTATATTATTTCGATTAGATACCTAATTTTAAAGATGTAATTTTTTCCATTTCTCGAATTTTTGTTGTTTACTGTATGGTATAATACTTAACTACATATAGGAAGTCAAGTAACGTAGTTTTGGAAAAATTTAATTTACAATATATTTATAAGTATTGATCCGAAAACGGCTTTATAAATAACGATTTATATATCTTGCATGTTTAAAAATGTAATAAAACTATTCTAAAAACTACCAATAACCACCCCTAAGAACTTCGTTACAGACTAAGGACATTCCGAATTACTGTAATGGTTACGAACATAATTAAGTGATTATTAGAGTGCTTTAAATTTGGCACCCTAAATGCCATTTGTAGTACCAACGATCTCTAAATCGGTACAGATATCACAACGTTGTTCTGAATAATTCGTTTTCGTGTTTTCAAATGATCACAAAAATAGGTTTCATAATAATACACCCACTGTTGACGGTTTACCACCGCATATCCGTTTATTTGTTGATTTTCCTCAGCCGTATCTCTACACAACGACTAGTAAGATATTGCTTTATAACTATAGTGTAGGTGCTACTATACTTTATATAATGATTTACGAAACGCAAATATCATTGCGCTATCATGTAGATCATTCACTATATGCGTGTTTTTCTAAACAGTTATGTACTTACATTTATTGCTTGATATACTCACCCGAGTGTACAGCAATACAATACGCCTATATGTTATTTTGACAATTGTAGTGGATAAAATGTGTAATAATATAATTACATTGTCATCGAAATAGAAGGAAAAAAATGTAATTTACAATATTTTGCTTTCGACTCAAGCACTCAGAACGAATACGTAGACGGATTTCGTCTACGGGCCACGAGAAATGTAATTACGAACGGATTTTAATAACATAATAACAATATTCGACTGTGAGGTTCTATCGGATAGTGTCAGGTAGGTTAAAGATACGCGACTCGTATAAAATATAAATAATTTATTTCATTTTTCACGAAATGTATTTGTCATCAAATAAATTAATAAATTAATAATAAATATATAGTGTTGGGTATAATAATATGTACATCTTAACATTGGGAGGAAAGGGGGAGGGAGGGGTAAAATGCGTATTCTCATCATTACCGTGAGCAACAGTTCTATTACACTTTTTGCATGAAATGTATGGTTGATTCGTCTGCGGAGGACAGCCTCATCCTGCGGTGCGTCCTGCCGCGTCTGTCATTGGGTACGATAGCCACAGGCATGTGCTTGAAGCTCCTGTACCCGTCGTCATCGTCCTCGTCGTCGTCGTCATCGTCGTCGTAATCTTTGGCGGCTGGCGCGCTGCTGACCGTCATTATCGTCGTCGATGTCGTAGCTGCGGCCGCGTGTTCTGTGGTCGCGATCCTGTCGATCGTCTTGGCTGTCGTCGAGTTTGCGTCCACTGCCCCGTCCGCCGACATACCGACCGCGCTAGCCGCCGTTTCGATGATGTCCGACACAAGGTCACTTTCTTCTTCTTCGTCGTCGTCGTCGTCCTCGTCGTCGTCGTCTTCGTAGTCCTTATCCTTGCTGGCCACCGACGTGGGTACCGTTTCCACGCGGTCCGTCGGATTGTCGTCCAATGGCGCAGTGGTGGTTGGCCTAGCATCCGCGGACACCTCGGAGGACATCGCCGGGTCTTGTACCACGCTCACTGTGAACGATGTAGACGTCACGGACTCGACGCTAGACGCCGCCTGCTTCTCCGTCACCTGTTGGCTGGAGGACGATAGCGGCGCGGCCGTCACTTTCGACTTGACCGCCACCGGTTTCGCTGTTGTTGGTTTCGCCGCTGCCGTTGTGCTGGCCTCGTTCTCGTCGTCCTCGCCGCCGCCACCACCACCACCAAACAGGCTGTCCAGGAAGTCGGTGCTCAGCGCGCTCAGACCCGTGTAGTCCGCATCCCCGGTGGACTCCACGTCGTTCTCCGAGTCGTCATCGTCTTCCTCCTCGTCATCACCACCTCCCAAACCGTAATCGTCATCGTCGTCATCGTCATCGTCCTCCTCGTCGTCCTCGTCCTCGCCCTGCAACGTCTGGGACGCCGGCAACGGTTGGGCCGGTTCCACTTTCATGCCCTGCGGCCCAAACCGGAAGCACGACACCCTGAGCGCGGCCTCCACGTCGTCCAGAGCTCGCAGCTCGAGTCCCAGGCATGCCTTGAACTGATCACCGTCTCTTGAGATGCCGTATACCCGACCGCAGAACTTGGATATACCACCGGGCAGTGACATGCACACGGGCTTCGGTTTTTTCCCGGATATGGTCGTGTTGCGCAACACCTTGTCCCCGAAGCTCATCGTCACAGCCATTTGGTCACCTTTCAAATACTTCAGCGATGCGCAACCTGTAATATAAAATGCATAACAATAACAATCTACTCATACACAGTTAATTCTCTCGTACCATGAGTGTGTATGATAGGAACGGATAGGATAAGATGGGATAGTGATAAACCAGAGTATTCAACGGAGCTAGGACATAAAAATGTGGTGTACTTTAGCAATTAGACTAGTACTGGATTAGATTTGGAAGGAAAAAGGCTACAGAATCGACTTTGGAAATTGTAAATGTTGACGTAGTGGAAAAAAATCTGAAAAATCAGAGAATGCTGAGATATGGTACGAGATCGAGACGAATGGATTGGTAACGAAAACTCTTGGACAGTAGTTTAAGCCAGAAAATGCTGCACGTGTATATATTTACCGAAAATTGTGAAAATAACGATATATTAATATAATATACGGACTGGTGCCCGTAAAGGATACAATATAATAGTCGAAACGAGTATAATTTAGTACCGCGGTATTGATTGACCGACTGCTAATCGATAGGTGTATTTAGATCGATTGTTTACCTGGTCCTTTGATGGGAACTACTGGTAGTGAAAAATCTCTGCAGCAATTACACATTAGGTTCGAACAAGCGCAGTACCGGTTGGGAGGAGCTGCTTGAGGAGTAGCTTGTCTAGCTCGACCCATCGCTTTCAAATGTTCTTTGACGTTATTCAAGCCTTTGTTCCATACGTCTTTGTTTTCCGGGACTGTAAAATAAAAACGAAATTCACGATGCATTATATGATTGTTAAGAATATTACTCGGCAATAAACGTTTTTCACTTACTAACTCTACCATAAGCAGCAAAAGCTATGATCAAAAAGATCAACAGCAACTCAAATACGACTGAAAGCCGCATTTTTCTTTAAATCGCTGACCAATTACGAAAGAAAACTGTAACAAAAACAATTATATTAATATAATATATATATTATATCCGTATGACACAAGGTGTTAAAAAAACTTCCAAAATATGACTTTCTTTTGAGAAATATATAATAACAGATTGGTAGATTGGTAGAAATTGGTGAAAGGTTCATATGTATTATCAGAACTGACCTTGTCCTTAAAAAGAGAAATCTTCTTTCCGTCTCCCAGAACAAGTTTTTTACATCGGTATAATATCATAATACCGTAAAAATATATTTTAATAATAGCTTAATCATTTAACTACGCCTGTAATAATTTCAATCCTATTGTGTTCTATAGATATTTGTTCATGCATAGATATTTGTTCATGCAATTTTCACGGGACAATATTTTTAAATATACATTTGTACCGTTAAAAGTTAATAATAATTATTTAATTAATTTTCTAATTTTGATTTAAAAACAAATACATTCTCAAAATTACTTGCACCTGTTCTCACGCAAAACATAAATTTTATTGTTTCGTATTTTATGATACATATTTTCCAATCAAATATTAAAAATAAAGAAAGCAAACAATAAATCCCCGTTAGTTTATGGCTTTTCGTATTACAATTACTTTACCAATAGTGATCAAAACACACTTTATGACTTTTCAGCAAAACCTTAATAAAATAACTTTTGTTTTTGTAACACACATTTATATAAAAATATATTTAGATATAATCCGTAAAATTAAATTGGAAATAACAATTAAAAAAAAAAGAAAAGAAGATGAGTATCCAAACACTGTATAGACAAGCTAATACTTAAGTATATTATAATCATTATGCATTGCGTCATATTGTTTATAAAGGTAGTAGAAAATAATAAAGGGGTATTAAAGTCTTTGAGTTGTATTCCGGAAATGAAATAAAACAAATTCTTCATAAAATGTATGTATAAACTTAATAGGATGTATTCTATAATTGAACAACATTTTGATCTTAGTGTAAGGTTTTGATGTATTTTTAAAATGAACAAATAACCAAACCGTGAAATTAATTCAACCCTACACTTGAGATAATTATTTTTGTACTACAAAAACCTACATATCTCTTCCCTTTAATTAAATTTTTTTAAATTCATCTTCGCTCTCGGCACTTTTTTTAATTTACCGAACTTTTGTGCATGTAAACTTAATACAACTTATTGTTATAAAGCTATACCGACTGTATTGTAAAAAAATTTATATATATGTAAGTATCTACCTATATTATACTTAATAAATACTATATTTTAAAATTATAAATAATTCATGTTTAAATTATGAAACATTGCGTTGAAATACAAATTAAACTATGAAAAATTATACATAACTTTTACATCAAACATTTTATTTCATTTATTTACTTAAATTCCCTCCGAATAATTATGATTTAATATTAGTATACAATGTGGTTCATAATATGTAAACAACTATTTTTAGAAAAATAAAACAAAATAGTAGAAACATCACCTAGTCAAATCGATAAATAATATTTGATTTCAACTAACACAGTCGGCCCTTGTTATTGAGTAGACTGAATGATTACTTTATCCCGAAATGTTGAACTTCCAAATCTGTATACAAACCCGCCAAAACTCGATAAAACCTCCATTCAACGATCTACAAACGTTTTACGCGTCACGCGAACGGACGTGAATCGATCGTAACCCCTTGAGTTTCTACATAAAAAGCATTAAAAAAAAAAAAACACCCGCCAAGCAAATCCAAAGGTGCACCCGTCAAATTATGAACCACATTAAACTTTCTAAAGCCCACACTGGCTGCTCTTCCTAACTCTCTCTCTCTCTTTCTCTGATGAAAACACACCCGGCCGGTTTCGGGGGGGCGTGTAGACAAACCTCGAAGTTGACGAAATAAAAACCGAAAAAAAAAAAACCCCCGAAAACAACAGTATTAGACCGACGAGAATAAAAATAAGCAAATAACAACAATCACGTACCTTTTGCACTGTATTCCGGCGAATAAACACGTCGTCAGCAGGATGTGCACAGGCACTGAACACGAAAAACCGCCTCGAACTCGTCTCTTTGAGGTAGGAACTGAACTGTGCGACGAGCGCGGCGGAATACCACGGCCGCCGTTCTTGTTCCGGGCTAACAACCGGGTCAGGTATGTGTGTCAGCGGCTGAGACGCGAGACAGTGTGCTGTTCCCCACTAAAAAAAAAAAAAAAAAATAATAAAAAACCCACTCTCGTTCCGGGACGGTTTTCCTTTCCTAACCAGCCCAACCTCGACCGCCTTACGTTGCTGCTCGTCGTCCAACCCTATTGTCGCGATGTGCCGCGACGTACTCGTGTACCGCGGTACGCGCGTGACGAAAACTAACGCGAAATAAAAAAAAAAAAACGCTTTGTACGCGTTAACGCGACGTGCAAAGCTATTATTATTATCGTTAGCTTTGGATTGGCATTCTGGAAATCAACCGTTAACGAAAATTAAAAAAACCTTCCCGCAAAACCGGTTGCCTGTTAGTTTTGCGATTGATATGATTCATGTAATAATATTTAAGTAATTACCAACCCGCTGGTCGATAATTATAATATTATCTCTTTCGTCCCCGCATTCCCCGTCCTTGTTGCATCCGTGTGACACGCGCGTGCGGTGCACCCAGTCCGTGCTGCGAGTGGGTATGTACATGGTACAAACGTGTTTTGAGTCCCCCGCGCGCGCGCGTGTGTGTGTGTGTGTGTGTGTAGTATCTTTACACGGGTGTTATTAAATTTTGTTGTTGTTGTTGTTGCTGTTGCTGTTGCACACGTACAATATATTATAAATTTCGGTGTACGCGGGGAAAGTCGAGGAGTTAGAAAGCGAGGCACAGGTACACCGTACGCGCGCGCGCGGGCGACCGAGAGAAAGCGAAATTGTTAGTCGATGCACTCGCTCCGAACGTAGTTCATTGTCGTCGTCATCGTAGTTCAACGCAGTCATCCGCGCGGCCATAGCACACGAAAAGAAAGTGGTAAACCGGTGGGGGCTGTAGATGACCCGTTGACCCGTTGCCGGTACAGTATCGTTTAGTGACCGCCGCCGCAGACGCAACGGGACCGGCTGCGTGTTGGACGTGTTTTTTTTTATTATTTTTTCTAACCCGATCGTCGTCGTCGTCGTCGTCGTCGTTGTGCGCCAAACTCTCCAGACGCAATCGTACAGAATTCACGATGTATCGTCCAACGTGGTGGTGCGTCGTCTTGGCCGCGGCGTGCACGGCATCGTGTTCCGGTGCCACCGTACCGTCGACCGTCACGGGTGAGCTCAACGGTTCAATATAATTATGTTTACATGTTGGGCTCGCGGTTGCGTTGTGTTGACACGCCGGACGGAGGCGCATGTGATAGATTTGTCGACAAATTAAACAATCGCTCCGTCCGCCGTTATCTGTCCACACCGCCGCAAGGAGAGGCAACAATAATAACGACTTACTATTGTTGCCTCTCCTTGCCCTATCACCGACCAACCGTGCGGCCCTTAAAGCCATAGAGTCGCCTAACCGCCAATGCGCGTTCTGCATTTGTTGTCGCAGACTTGCTGTGGACCGGGCTGGAAGGCGTGATCCAGCAGAGGAGCGGACTACCGGCCGAGTCGAAACAGGTGCCCGAGAAGCGGTGTGAGTGCCAGAGCCCGGAGCTGAAGTCGTGCGTGTGCTGCCTGCGCATGAGCATGCCGTTCCTGGATTTGACCACGTCTCCGGGTGAGTACGACCAGCCATTTTCCCAATACTATTTCATCCCTCCTACCCCGTTTCAACATTTAATCGCGCCGTGATTACCACCACAGGTTGTGTCAAGTTCAAGTACGTACCGGACATCGAGTCGATCGCCGTGAACGTGACCTACGGCAGAGGCAACGTCCAGAACGGCGTCATCAAGGGTAAGCATCCGCGAACGCGTACGCCACAATAAATGATAATAATAATAATAACGTGCAATCGTTGTACAGCCACTGAGTACATTATATTGTTGTGTACTGTTTACGATTCATAACATTACGTCCGGATGTCCTCTATTGCTTCCACCGTTTCGTTTTCCCATGACCATTATGTTATATACTGTACTGTCCGCCGAATGCGTGTACGTAATGCAATAGTGTTCGCCCAGCGACGCAGTGAAAGGGTTTTCAATATGTGCGTCACGGATAAAATTTATTCTCCGGATACTGAAACTATTCGTTTATGATAATTATCTAAAAACATAAGCTGAAATATGCACTTGTACTCCGGACTTCCAAATATGTTTATATATGATTATATTGTCATCACTCCACTTGCACGTTTTTTTGTAAAGAATTACCTCGAAAATCGTTCCACGTTACGCGCTATCTATAAAGTGCACGTGCAATAGAGACTTTGGGACTAAAACAGCCAACCACTAGATGCTTTACGCACCGACCATACGCGTATATAGTTACTATATCTCTCCATACTGTGCGTATGATCTAAATTAAAAAAATAATTATGGGGAAACAGTAATTATGTGAAAGAAACGATGTATATGGGTACTAAAATACATGTTGCGCACACCATTATTAACAAACATCAGTGAACAGGTTATGTTAGTAACAAGGTTACTAACCTACCTACGCGTTCGGTTTCCCAAGATCCAGGTCTATGCAAAACTCCTGTTCTGTCGATCCACGATGGGAGGAGGAGATGGGTCGTGATGCTTCCCCTCGTTTTTCATTACATCGGCGCGTTCAGTGGTCGAACTCACGGTAAAAGGTTATATTCGCACGTATTGTACGGATCTGCATACGCGACTGGTGGAATGGTTCGTTGCACATCCGGCACGTGTGTTACGTTGCAGCGCCATTGGTAGTAACGCGGTAATGGACAACAGCAACAACAACGATAATATAATCTACACATGTCGAGTGTGCGGCGTGACGAGCCGCTTTTCCCCGGGACAGAGATGATGTCCTCGCGTAGACTGACGTGAGAAACAGTGACGTGCGCCCGCGAAATTCGTAAGACCGCCGTGACATTGACAATGACACGTGAAATCGAAATCAGCTCGACGGCGACGACCGTCTTTACCTGCAATGTATTGTTGCTTCAACAGCGACTATTTTAATTGAATTTCGATCTACAAATAATATATATATATATTTATATAATGATGAATACAAAATAGGACTACGTGTATGAATTTTTTCATTTTTTACAAACGTTTTCCCGTTTCTCTAAATTGCAGGCATATATCATCGTAATCACATGCCAGTTTGATTATTTCTAAAACCATTACGGCACTATTACCTGTTTATGGATCGTACGAACGATACCATGTACTCCGGTCGATGTTTACGGGATGTCATGTTTTTAATAACACGCACACGATGACCAAAACTAAGTATATAATTGTATGTTTTGCGTTCGTTTTCAACCGATTAAACCATCAACATTTGTTAAATTTTAATCTTTAAAATTTAAACGTATTATCGTGTACTCAGAATGTGATATCAACCCCTAAACACCCACGTTATCGTTTTTCGGATTTATCTACTTATTTATTCAAAGGTTTTCTAGCTGGATTGGCCCAGATGATTAATTACATAAGCCACGGCAATTTATTCATTTATAATTATATTATTTTCGTTCGTCCATTAAATACGATATTTACGCCACCCATTTGGTTTTACTATTGAAAAGTTACTGTATTAAATAATTAATCATACCTATAAATTATACGTTAAACATGTTACGTTTAATGATAATAAAAACCATATTATTTTCGTTTTATTTAGCTTTCAGTAGAAACTAATACAAAGATAATATGTAGGTACATAAATACGATTACATACAAATTACATGGTATAAGACATAATAATATGAAATAATATAGTCTGTATCATATGCACAAAAGCCAAAAACAACCAAATGAAAATAACAGCAAATATTAAGATAATAATAATAATAAGAAAATATTGGTTTGCTATCGAAATGGGAGTGAGAAAGTAATATTAGTACGAAGGATAGAAATGGTCGAGAAAATATATTTAGAGTGGACGTAAGTTAAGATACTGATGAGATAATTATGGTTTTAAATTCATAGATTAATATGGAAATATTTTCAAAAGATACGATGTTCAGATGGTTAATTAGTTGTGATATTGGCCTACGTTTGTTGGTGAATGGAAAAGCTAGAGTTCCTAAATTATACACAATTGACTGGCCAAGATATAATAGGGTAGACGTTTTTCTTCATTTCTTGTTTACCGGAGGTAAGGTAGCCGTGAGCTTTTTCATAAACTGGGCATAGTGCTTTATGAGCTCCTTCACAGAGAGTGCACTTGGCTGATTCCAAAGTGCGATCTTTGGAATGCTCACATGATGATTGTTTTTCGCTAAATTTGACGCGACAACTGTTAAGGTAGCAACGTTTATATGTGTGTTCATACGATCGACAGTTGTGACATGGATGCATCTGTTTTGAAGTTTTTCTCAATGGTTTTACTCGTTTTAAGTACTATACAATAGTGTGTGTATATATATATATATATAACTATACTATATTTTGAACGATACAAATTAAATACGAAAAGTACCAATACAACTTAAACGTCCGAAGTAATACTCTTACAATTATAAATGTCACGTGAAAATATAATAAATATTTTTATAATTACTGTTATTGTAGTAAGTAAAAAAAATTAGTACATTTCACATTAAATTCGTGTTAATCATATTACGTACTTCACGGATCATTACGAGTTTCATAGAAATAAATTTTTTGTTATTTTAATAATTCATTAATTGGTTACGTACGACCATTGATGGAAACCAAACATAAACATTTTTTTTTTTATCTGAGTGTTATAAATTATATACCGTTATATACAAGATCATTGTGCAAAAATAAATATAAAAATAAAAATTTTCTACTATGGTTTTACACTTATACAACCGATTCCGTTGTACGACTAGTAAAACACATTGAGCATAATTAAATTGCCATGACATGTCAAATAATGATGAAAACATAGTTTTTTATTTTAGAAAATCTTTAGAATATATTTTTCATAAATTGTTGTATGGGCCGTGAAAATGGATTTTACCTAAAATATATTGTTAAGCTATTTCATATCAGTTCCATTTACTATATAGATATCCTATTTTATAAATTCAAAAAGTATGCAAATTTTCACAAAATAATATCCGGTAAGATTAGATTCGCAACGATTTATAAAATAAAAAAAATCGGAAAACACTTTATTGAAAATCCATTATGACTTATAGAAAATGATTTGGTTTCTAAATTTTTACGCATTAAAGTCATATTTAGCAAATCCAATATATTTCCAGTTTATTATTAAATTAAATGATTATTAAAATAAAATAAAAATATAAATTATAAATTCATTTATTAGAATATCATAGTATGACAATATTACAATAATTACAACCATTTTTAACATAAAAAACTCGTATAACTTTAAATATTACATTTTTCGAATTTATAACTTTACTTCCTTAACACTTAAAAAGTTATATAATAGTAATTAATACTTAAACAAATATTTAATAAAAATATTCATTAACATTAAAACAAACTAAAAAAAATTAAAATAAAAGTATATCCCTAACCATTCTACACCTATCTACGTATTTGATTAATTATTTCAAACGTATTGTAAAAACCATATTGGATTTTCTATTTAGTGACTTTTTTGAAAATCTACTTTTCATTAAAATTTATTGTTTTTATTTAGCACTCCTTCAACACAAGTTATCTATAATTAATATACGCTTTAAAAAATTTAAAATAAGTTACTATTCATTTTACTTAATCCTATTTTTTTCCCTCATCATAAAATTTAGCTATTGTGTTTTTTTGTGCCATAGTTATATTTAATATGTATTTAATTAATTTTTTAATTAATTTAATTCATTTAATATTTAATAACTTGTTGAAACTTGTTTGTAAAACATTAGTCCGATATGAGTTTAATTCCCTATAGAACCTAGTGCGACTTCATAATCATTCAGTACGGCGCTGCCTGGACGCTAGTTTACTACTCACCCATCGTTTCATTTTACATTTATATATTTACACTAAAAAGCTAGAAAGTTTAGAAGCCATACCATTTCAGTAGCAATCAAATAATCATATGACAATACGAAATTATTCGCGTTTGAACTCATGTAAACGTTGTCATTCATTACCTATTTTAAAACAGTAAATTATATTTTTAAATTATTCATCAATACGAACTATACTGTCCGTAATTCAATTTCTAACTAAATATATAATAAATCATTGTGTGTTATTCATGATTTATATTTTACTCAACAATTAAATACATATTTCGTCATTAAATTTCTATTTATTAATAATTTATTTAAAATCGTTCTATTTTTTTTTTTTTTTTTGTAATCTATTTTCAAATTATAATTAATGGCGTCACAGTGACAAAACGCACTTATTATTCTTGAGGATCTTTCACAATATGAAAACTAATCAACCGTGAAAATGAACATATTTCACACAAAGAAAAGAAATGTAATTGACCGCAACATTATAGGTGCTTCAAAAGAAACGATTCATTCTAATTATTAATGCACTGTCAAATTTAATTTATTGTCTACCTGATTGTCTTTATCATAGGCCTTAATTATTTTCAATTTTATAAAAAGTTTTTTCGTTCATAAATTAAAATCTCAATGTGCCATATTCTATTCATGTAATGTCAATGCTAGTTTTATGTAAAATCTTACTTCTCTTAACTTTTTTTTTTACTAAACAAAAATTTCTGTTACGATACTGAAAAACATTCATCGTCAACAAAGAGCTGCTCTTTCTAATAAAATATACTGAATACTTTGCGTGAACCTAACATTTCGAATATTGTTTGTCACAGGCAATAACCCGGAACCCGTGTGCATGGACGTGCTAGTTGGATTTGGTCAACTGTGCGCTCGATTTATAGGAAACTCATCTACACCACAAGACTTTGACGGTTGTCTTAAGTTGGAAGCCACCTTGTTAAACGAAGTGCAAAACTCGATTCCCATGGGATGTTTTAAAATGGACCAAAATCGATTAATCTTCAATTCCACGTAAGTGCACAATAAATAGTTTTAAGGACACTAATTATTTTAAATCTTCAACTGTACAATATGTACAATATGTTACCAAAGAAAAGGTGTAAATAATAAAACAAATTAGTTCAAATCGTCAATTTTGTAAATCTATAAATTTTCAAAATATTGTTAGATCACAATGAGCTTAAGAATTATGAATATTTCAGAGATCATAAAATAAATCACAAAAATAACTGTAATATGTAAATTTCTGGTGTAATTCGAGGTGAATATTATCCTTTTATAGATCAATGATTTCATCTATGCTATTTACTTTTTAATTATTATATATTTAATTTTTCATAAATAAACGCAAACATATTTTTTTAATTTTATTTGGGAGTTAAACACACACAAATAGAATCAAAAATATGGAAAAATAAGTAAATATTTTTAAAATACATACAAAATGTACGTCTATTCTACTTTAAATTTTTATAATTTTTAAGTTGAATAAGAAATTGCAATGTTCTGCACTAGAAAATCTCATCATAACAGTAAAAAGAACATTAAACAATTACAGTATAACTTAAGAGTAATTATATAACTCTTGATGGTCTTTAAATACTTCTCAGCTGTAATTTTATCATAATATTTAAAACATTTAAACAGCAAAAACAAATATTTATGTATAATAACATATTAACTAACAAACGTAACTCGTAATGAATAAATACAATTAAAAATAATATATAACATGATTATATTATATGAGCATTAATTAATTACATTTACAAATTGTAATTATACGGAAAAGATTTAAATTTTAAACACGGAATATTGCATTAAAAATGTTTACTTCAAGCATTAATAACAATTATTTTTAAATTGCTGTTTACTATAGTAAAATCATAAAATCATAATTTAAAAACAAAATATCTGTAGAATAACTACATTGGGTAGTAGATGAAATCGATTTTGTTATTCATTTAACCAGTCCATATAATTTTTAATTAAAATGAAAATAATTATTTTTCATTGCAAAATGTTTTTACAGAGGTAATTTTTTTTTTGTTTTCATGCAATGAAAGCATTTAGAAAATTATTTTCTTGTAAAATGTACAAAAGCATAAAATATAATAATATTAAATATATAACACACAAGTAAATAAAAATATTAAAAATAAAATAAAATATCAATATATAGGTATTAAAAATAATTATTACACATAAGTACAATTAATTGTTAACTTGAAATATTTATAAATTTCACTTAAGTATACACAGATCATATCACCAGGTTTAAATTGATCATATCTTTGGCTAAAGTATGATTGTTATCTCATAAATTACAGAGAAAATCTTTTCTATATGACAAGAGAAGACTAAAGGTTAGGAGAATATTGCGACATTTCGACACGCGTCTAATGTACATGGTAAATTTAATACATGCGGGTTCGACGTATCTACATTTTGACGCGTTTTATTGTATTTATCTAATGGAAACAAATAAACAAATCTATGAAAAATATTGAGAATATATTGGTAAGATAATTAAATTTTATAAAAATTTAAACAATAACCAAAAATAGTAATGTTTAAGTCTCACTGAATATCTTGTGCTAATGTGCTGGTGTTATGTCTATTAAAATACATGATGAAAATTTAACGATACGGATAATATTAAAGATAAATCTAATAAAAATGGTTATTTATAATTTTTAAATTTAATATCAAAGTAGATAGATTTAAAAAAAATGTGTCAAAATTGTCTTGCATTGATTTCATAAAACTTTTATTGAAGTATTTTCTTATCGAGCGATGTATGATTGTATCATAAAACGCGTCGAATTGACATTCGTAGAAATGTCGATACGTCGAAATTGCACGCGTCGAAATGTCGTATATGTCCATTTGTCTTGCATCGAATTTACCGTGCCGAAATAGCGTACATTCAGTGAGGAGGTATTGTATTTAAATTTAACAAAACTATTAGAAATTATCAGTATATATAACAATTATATAGTTTTTTTTTTTTTTATGAATTTTAAAATTTTAAAAGATTAATCATTTAAACTTAAGTAAGTAAATTTGAATTTTTGACATTAGTACGTAAAATATCATTGGTCAGCTAGTAAAGTTGTTAGGTCTAAATTATCGTTCATATGATTGTATACTTCTACTCAAGCATAATAGAAATAAATTTGAAAAACAACATTACTATAGTAACATATATTAATTTTGTTAAAAATTAATTTGTATTCTTTTACTAAATTTAAAATTAAGGTTGTGTTACAAATAAATAACTGTACAATAATAAGTTATGGCGATGTTTAGAAAAAAATTATCATATATTTCAAAATTATATACCAATGTTTAACAGGGAAAAAATCCCTATTAAAGTAAAGGAATACAAAATTATTTGAATATGAAAAATGACTCATTAATATTGATAACGAGTTAAATAACTTATAAATAATAATTTAAAAATTTATAATTTTTATAGTTAATACAGGTGTCTAATAAATATTACTTTTTTCAAAAAACATTATTGATTCATTGCAATTTGATCTTGGCATGTATCAGTGATAACAATGAAAACATTACTTATATGAATTCAAATGTACGACCATTTATTCATATCTCTCACCCTTTCTCTCTATCAAATTTTTCGTTTTCGTTTCCTGCTCACGTATAATTTGATACGCCTAAACGTAACTAAAACCATTTACGTGTAATATTAATACTCAATTCCACCGGGACAGAGGTTTTAATGAAACCGTATTATTTTTTCTCACGAATCATTAGAGCTGTTTTAGTTTTATACCCCGCACGCAATTTAGTAGATATCTATGATAATTACACATAAAATAACGATTGTAAACAAAATAATAAATAGGTTACGACGAATTTGCTGTTTTATCAACTTCTTACCATGCAAATTACGTATAGGAAATAAGCGTAACACGTATAATTTATACTACCGCTAACATAAATAAACGGTGCTTATAATGATCATAGTGATGGTAGTTACGATATAGCAGTAGTGATGGTAATGAAGTTTGTGCTTTTAAAAGTTATGTATGACCATCTGAAATATTCCCGTTCCCATATAATCATAATTTTCAAAACCAAAAAATGTGTTCCACCAAAAGTGGTTCCTAAAAACATGATACAAAATAATTTATATCGTTCAATATTTTCCCGTGCAGCGGAGAAAATATCAAGTAGCGCTCTACAATTAAATTGATGGTAAAACAAAAATAATTTCTAATGTTTGACCAATATTACTCGTGACACGTAGTACGTGACACGCAAGTACGACTTGAATGCGTTTTTACAGTACATTATCAACACTATAATAATATAATAATATTCAGTGTTCATCTGACTTCCGTTCACTGTAACGACACACTCCACGGTTTCGGAAATCGATTTCGGCAATAATTTTCTAATTTCGATATATAATCGATCGTGTTGCAGGGTCGTCGAGTTGCCTGAAGTACTGTCGTCGAACAACAGCTCACAGTCCGGCGAGGAGGAGGGAGGAGAAGAAGAAGAGAGCGAAGAGGGCGTAGACCCTAGCGAAGAGGCGCTCATCCAAGCATTCGGTGAGACTGCCGTGCAAGGCGTCACGTGGCTGGTCAACGTCATGGGACTGAACGTGAACCAGTCCAATAATAACGGGACCGCGGCCGCCTCGTCTAACCAGCAACAACCATTATCCCCTACGACGCAGCCCGCTCCCGTGAACGTCTAATCACGGCGATCCCGGATCTATACGTGAATTTAAAGGATCGTATCCGTAGTACAATCGATCCCTTTTCGATGACCCATCATCAACACAAACCTATATTTATTATTATTATTATTATTTTTTTTTTTAATTATTGTTATTATTATTAAGTTCAGTAGTTTCATTCGGCGACGCTTAGTTACCCACTACCGAGTTTCCCGCAACCGTTTCCCGCATCACGTATTTATATTTATATTTATCCCTTTTCAAGTCATCGAGAATGGTGACGAAACCGGTCCTACATTACCGACCACCATTTTGATGTCTCCAGACGTGAAGACATTCGCTTTATTTTAAGATTATCCGTGTAAAAGATTGTAAAAGATTTAACGATACGATGACGTCTTTAGTCTCGTTTCATCTCGCGGTCTCTTGACAATTCTAAACACCAAACATAACTTGGCCTGAAAAACACGACTTTGTAATGTCACTTCAATCATACGAGCTGTCGTAACTCAGACAAGTGTAACTATATTATTATTGCATTTATGTCGCACTCATCCCATTTCGCAACTACGGTTTCCTATAACAATGACTTTATATTTTTGTAATTTTAACATTATTAACTGTACACGGTTGAATTATTTTTATACGGTTTATCGTTTATATTTATTTTGATAATAAAGTTTATTTATTCTGTAATTTACTCGAAACGTTTTTTGGTCATCAGAACTTCCGCGTTGTGTTGCAATTCAGCATTCCTTTCCTACTCAATAAGGATCGAAAACCAGAACAACTATAATCATGTTGAGCGGACTACAAGAGAACTGTTTGTACTTTTAAATCTTTCACAATATGTTTAAAGGACAAATGTATTATTGTACCATAGTATATCTGTACAATATGGTACAAATATAAATAATATAAATAATAATATAATATAAATATAATATAGTACAAATTATTGTATTCAAAAAGTGAATTTTTAACGATATACTCGTATTAATAATTTGTTACATTTTTTCTCTAATAAACAACCAACTACGATTTAGTGACGAATTATCACAAACCGGTATCATATATAAGTTCATTCATAATATTAAAGCGTGAAACTATAGATTGTGTTAATTAGTAGTTCAACTCTGTATAGCTGTGATAAGACAAATATTTTAACTAAAATTTATAATCATCGTAATTTAATAATGCGTGTCGGTTAATTATTTTCAAATAAAATATTTATTTTTAAGCAACTGTATTAGTCATCTACTTCGACAAAATCGGTGATAAGAAAATACATTTTAATACTTAAAACGTAACTTATATATCCATAACAATTTTTTTTATTTAAGAACTTTCATTAAAAACTATTATAACTCAACAATTACTGAATTATATAAAATCCATAACAATAAAACATTCAATTTTACAGTGATATCAAATATATATCGAATTGAACTATGAAGATTCAGTAATAATACCAATGTCACGAAAACACCATTCAATGACTAAATTGATTTTCACACAAAACACATAAATAATGATTGATTGAATGCATTGCTCTAAAAAGAAAATTATTTATTTTTCTGTTATATTTATTATACTTTCCTGTTATACTTCACTAAATTAAAACAATATTATACATATATATATATATATATTAATTTGACGTAATTAGGTTAGTATACACCTCCATAATTTATACTATTCGATGTATAATTCAATAAAATGTAATAAAAATTGAGCGTGAGAATTTTAAGTGCCAGAAAAATTTAACATAGGAAAGTTATAACTATAAATCCCAAACAAAACTGGATCTGACTATTGTCTATAAATTACAGACAATTTTTCAAAGTACTAAGTTTTTATTCAAAACTATCTATTCAAAGAAGATAAGTATACAATAGTATTAATTAACACAATCAACTTATTTTTTTGTCAAACAATCTTTAAATACATTAAAATATATTTAAAAATATATATCGAGTTCTATGTTATTTTATGCAACCAAAATTATAAAAGAAGTAACAAAAGTTCATTAAACCACGCCATGCATAGTTTTTAATAATACGTCTATCAAATGTAGTCTAGAAATTATATGATATTCCTTAGAAAAATATCAAATTTTACTCAAAAATACATGAACATATTTATAAAATTTTTCAAAAACAGATTTTTTTAGTAAAATTCAATATCTCATTAAAAATGTATTATTAAGTTTCTACATTTTTTTTACCATACTCATTACGAAAACCAAAGAATAACATGGCTTAATAAACTATTATTTTTTACTATCAATTTGGTCCACTAGGTAAGAGTTAAATTCGAAATCTTCTTTATTATTATGTTTGTACATAATATAATAGGTAGATTATTTAAATCATTTCAGTAAAAAAGCACATATTAATGTGGTTTAATAAAATTAGGAAAAAGCTTTACTGATGAAAGTTAATAAAATTGAGTTTTATTTAAATAAAATACTACAAGATCATAGATTCAAAATAATATATTGAAAATATGGTAGTTAAGGCAGTAATTTAATTGCTAACCAAGTTTTCTTTATACAAATACAATATTTCAAAAACTTCCAGGCACATAATTTTTAGTTAGTAATATTTCTTAAAGTAGTTTCATTAAAAATATATAATTCTGTCATTTTTTCAAATCTTAAAATAGTAAATTGCACTTAGTATCATAACTATGCAATATGTTCATACAATCTTCAAACATTTTTATTTAATTATCATTAATTTAAAAATGAAATAAGTTAATTGATACTTTATGAAGATATAAAAAAAATCAATATAAAAAAATCAATATTATTAAATAATTTTTAATTATAATTATTATATCTTTCAAGAATTCATGGCTTTTATACTTAGTGAACTATAAATTATAAAATTTACTATATGTAAATTCATAAATTTGAAATTAAGCCAGGGAAAGTAAAATGGCTATAATATCGATAGTTATTGTGTATATAATTTGGGAATTTTTTGACGTTGTACTCAAAAAACAGTAAATTGTACTGTATGCATTATCAAAATTACTTTTACGCAGATAAGTAATGTATGATATGGAATTAATATCACCTATAATAAAATAATAAAATAATTGAATAATAAAAAATAATAATATTTTTTTACTAACTATAATAGACTATAACTCTTAATTATGTGTACTATTAGCAATTAAATTCACCAAATTTTGAATAAATGATTCTGATCCAATAATTCTCCTTTCTAACATTAATAATTAAGTACTTTTTATTAGTTCATAACAGTAAATCAATCAGACAATTAAAAAAATGTGATAAATAATTCTAATTCAATTATCAATTTTGAGTACTTAATCCCGCGTTAAGTTTCTTTTTCATTCAGTATATTACATATCATTTACACACAATTATTATCTAGTAACTTTTCTGTACTAAACCTAAATACATTTTTTTTTTCGACAAATTATAAATTATATTTTATCAGAGATCAATACTTTTTAAAAATAACTTCATTAGATTAAATAAATTAAAATATTAACTGAAGATCTCACAGAATTGTTATTGTAATAATGAACATATTTAATTGTTTAATGGTATCAAAAACGTATACCGAATATTTATTATTTACCAATGAACATGTAACATTATAAAGTTCAATAAGTTGTATGTATGCATTTATGCTTTTAAGAAATATATATAATTTTTATTCAGAAACCCTAAAACAAAGAATTAGCAAAAAGGTTTTCGATTTTACATACAATTAATTTACACTAAGAGATTTATTAAAGTTGTTACGATTGATAATATTTTTAAATTTTTTTATTGGTCTTAACTAGAAAATCGACAACTAAGACCATTAGATTATAGGTACATTTAAATGTTCAATTATTTGATTGTCTTATATCAACCAATAGAAAGGTAATGAAAAATAAATAACTGAAAAAACTAAAGTTCAGAAAAAATGATACTTAATTGATATTTAATGCTTCAAAAAAAAAATACAGCTATTTTTATTTTTAAAATGTTTTCAGTACAAATAACATATTTTAACTTATATTATATATAAGCTATACAATTTTTCGGTAAAATAAGTAAAACGTGTGCAAATAAACTGCAATAATAATTAATAATTAACGATATAACTTTTATTTGTTTTTAAAAAATGAATAATATCATGTGTTTTTTTCGGTAAGCTTTTAAATTAATAAAATAAAAACTGGTAATAGATGTATTCAATTTTTTATATACGTACTCTTTCAATCTCAAAATGATTGACTTAAATAATTTTACTGTTTACAGTATATATGTTCAAAATAAAACATTAAATAATTCAATACGTACTACCAAGATCAATTTTAAAAAAACCATTTGTTCGATATACTTATTTTATGTGCATGTCTATTATTGTATTTATCCAAGTTATAAATTTAATCAGTGGTAGCGCTATAAAACCAAAAGTAATACAAAATAAATCTCTATGACCAATAATGCTCTTCATAACGGTACTTTTTTTTCATGCACTACTCACTCATATAACGTTTTTTTTTTTTTTTCAAACCGTCAGTTTTTGAACACATACACATGTCATTTCAGTTGGATAAACACGATTTAAAAACATTGATCCTCGTGCTTCATACAATATATGCTCATATGGTCGTTCATATACATATACATATTGTATACACATTTCTATACTCTTATTTCTTTCTGGGATACATGAATAACTGTATATCTTGAATTCCCGTGTGTTTACGGTGTATAATAATAAATAATCTCTTCAGAGGCATATATGAAACGCAGTCCAATCAGCAATTAGTTTAGAATTGATAGCAGAACCATCACCAATTTATTTCATAACGGTAAGATTTTTTCGTTTCAAAAGCCCCTGATTACAACTAATTGTTCCAGTATTTGTGAAGTTAAAACTAACTGCTATTTTTTTAATATTTAACTGAATTGTCAATTGAGCTTATAGTAATTGTCATATTTAGATTATATTTATTGTAAATAAAATAAAAATTTAAAAGAAATATATAAATAAAATAATAAATATTTATATCTTGTTGAAATTTGAAATAAGTATTAAAATTGTGTGTTAAAAGGTTTGTGAACTTATTTTAGTATATTTTCATGAATTAAAAATAGTTTTAAACGTTTTGATAATTGAAGAATTTGATAGGAAATAATGTTATTCTCAGTAAAGAATAAATATTAAAATTAGATACGAAAAATATACCGGCCCATGAACTACAAAATAATAATCCTAAGCAACTGTTATTAGGTCATCATAATCATCTTTGCTGTCCAATAAACTTAAACCCGAAATTTAACCTAATAATATAATATTTTTATGATCCGAAAAAAAATTGTAAGAAATACTGATATCCTATACTATAAATTTCTAAAATATTTTCATCAAAATATCCTTCTTTCAAGCTTATAGCCTCAATGCAAAATAAAAATAAATAATTACTTTTATCTACATATCGTATAATTTATAATTATTTCTACCACACGCATTTATTGAAAAAAGGAGTATACCCTTATAAATGTTCGTTTATTCATTAGTTGTTTTTAACGATTCGTTAGGTACATTGAACCAGAACCAATAAGTACTATATGGTACAAAATAATAATAAAAAACTTACCAATATATGTATTTTGTCTCATATTGTGTTTCCTTATTTTTTTCTGCCTTTTCGATATTAATGATTCTTTAAAAATAAGAATAAAGACAAATTAAAAATGAACCTAAAAAACACAAATCTCTAATTTTTTGTAGCATTATTAATAAAAAAAAGAATTTTTATTTAAAACCCTATACCTAACCTATGAGTCTCTTTTATTTAACAATAATAAATTAAAA